CTCAAATGTGTGTCCTTGCTTTCCAGAGGCACTTCATGATTTAGCTACCACGCATCATTCCAGGATCCTATTCCTCTGCACCTCTGCATTCTCCAGTGCCTCTGTTTCCTGTGAAAGCTGTGTGCTTTCCCACCTCTCTACCTTTGCCCACACTCTGTAATACACCTCTTCCCCATCTCCCCTGTTGAAACCCAACTTGAATGTTCTTTTCTCCATGAAGCTCTTGTAATTTCCCTTGGCAAAGTGGCCTTGCCTCCTGAAGCACCTTCTTGGCAGGGGTTTCATTAACAGCGTATACTGTCCCATGGATGGTTATCTGTGTATGTTACTCATCCTCCTACTAGGCTTCTAGCTTCCCGAGGATATGGGCTCTGTGTTTTGTTTATCATAGCATCCTTTGCAGAACTGAGCTAGGCACATCATATACCCTTGTTAACAGAATAAATGGGTGGATGGATGAATAAAGGATGAATGTAAACATGGATAAAACAACGGGTGAATAGCAGATAGGTTAGTGGATGGATGAATAAATGGATAGGTGAGATGTATAGATGGATGGATGCATGCATGGATGCATGGATGGATGAACAAATGGATGGATGGATGGATGGATGGATGGATGGATGGATGGATGGATGGATGGATGGATGGTTGGGGCAACTGTTCTCTAAAAGGACTCACAAAAGGCTATGTAGTACCAGGGGCTTCCAGGGAGGGAGCTTGCTCATTGCCAAGACTATGCATCCTCAGTGACTTCTCTCACAGAAGCCTGGTATTCCTGTTTCCCAGAAATCACAGTCTGAGAGCTGCTCCTTCCTTCCTGCTCTGGAATGCCTTCATAAACATATGTTATTTTGTACTGCCTGCACTGTAATGACTCTGTGGGTTTCCTCTTCCACATCCCTTCCTTTATCTCACACACACCCTAGACTTTGAGCTCCTTGAATTTAGGAGCTATATCTGAGTCTCTTGTGTATTCCTAGGGCCAGGTATACATGTTTAGTGAGTGAATGAACAGAGGAATAACTGAGTGAATGCTGACTCTTTTCACCACAGACATACTTTGCATACTTCCCATGTACTCATGTTTGGCCATCTCTCCTGGTTCACACACATACATACACTCCTGACCCTGAATCCCCTAAAGTCCTAGAGCTATGGTCTGGTTCTTTGTTTCCTTTACTAATTTGTGGCTGATCAAGGGAAGTCCCAGGCTCTCCTGAGCATCTGAAATGGGAAGAGGCTCTCAGCTCCTTGAAAGTCATATTAATTGGGCCCCATTTTGGACAGAAAGGGGATTCCCTGTGAAGAACCTGGCTGTGGGGAGGGTAGTAGTGCCAGTGCTAACCTGAGGGCTGCTGCCCCAAACTGATCACACCCTCCTGCATCTGCTGTCCCTACTCCTGATCTGTGACGCTGTCCCAAGGTGGGGTAGGTGGGTGTGGCCTCGAGGCTGGGTGGCTGGCAGACACAGCCAGATTTAGAAGTCATTTTCACAGCAGGGAGCCTCCAGCCTCCCACCCACAGGGCCCTGTGGGGCTAGACTGAGATATGGCTCACCAAGGGCTGGCCACCAGACCTGCAGTCATTCCTTCCTTTCTCTCTCTCTCTCTTTCTCCCCAGATCTTTAGAGCTGGTGCTAACTCCACGCTTAGGCAAAGATGGAGGAAGTCCTGGGGGAGGGAGGCATGTTACGTTGACACCTTAACCACCCAAGTGCTGCCAGTACACCATTTACCTATTCAAGGGGTTGTTTGTCTTCTGCCTAGGGATCCCTTCTCCTCTCTTCTGCCTGTTCCTCCTCTTCCTCTACCTTTACTTCTCTCTCTCCCATCTTCCTGTTCCTATATCCCCAACACTAATGAAATAGCCCCAGAGAGCATTACTAATCAGAGTTTAACATTTACTATGTACCACTTACTAGGTACGAGGCACTGTTCTGAGGGCTTTACATATTGAATCACTTAATCCTCCAAGCAAGCCTATGATAAGAGCACTATTAATAATCCAGTTTTATAGCTGAGGACACCAAGGCACAAAGAGGTTGAGTGACTTGCCCAAGGTCACACAGCTAGTATGAGGTAGAAGCGAGATTTAAATCCAGGCTGCCAGGCCCCAGAGTTTATGTTCGAAACACAACACTACTCTAATTCTCTGACAATGGTAGCAATGTGGGTGAGCTCTTAGAAACTGGCTTCCTGGGTGTTCAGCCTCAAAGTGCCTCAGGCAGCATGGTGGAGCCCACTCTAACAGGGCCTGTCCCTCCACTATCACACGCAGCTCACTTTTTCTATCAGCTCTGGAGCCTTGGGGCCTCTGGGCTGTAGCAAAGTCCAGGCAGATGTTTTCACTGCTGTCTTGGCCTTCCTCTATCTTCTTGCTATCCTAAAGTCCATCCTCGTCTCAAGCCCAGAGGTCTAAGGCACACACACTCAGTTGTACCGGGCCCACCTCATCCTGACCTCAGTTTTCACTCCTGCCTTTATCTTTCACAACTCCCATTAATGTATCCTCAATTCCAGCCAAACCAGACCATTTCCCCCACATCCACACCTCTTGTTTTTGCTGCTCCCTCTACTTGGAAACCCTTTCCCCAAATCCAGTCTCCCTTATTTGACTCCTTAAAGTACTTAACACTCACTGCTCAATACTATCATTACTTGTGTGTTTTCACCTTCAACCCATTGTCAGGCAGGTCTTACTCATCCCTTTCCTGGAGCCCAGCGGGTGCCTGGTTCCTCTTAGGTGCTTAGTAAATGCTCAACAGTTAGAACCGGTAGTAGATACAACTGTAGGTGGAAGGGAGACAGACCTCATGAAACTTTGATCTCTGTCCAGCAGGAGCTATCTTAAAACCTGGCAGTGTAGGTTCCAGGCAGGTTCTGGGATGGACCTTCCTGGGTAACTCTAACCAATGCTCTCTCCACAGGTTCAGAAGCCCAAAGAGGACCCCTCTTCCCCTCCAATGAACCAAGGTCAGGAGTTCTGGTTTAAGGTCCAGTTCCTCTGTCTCCCAGGCTGCCCAGCCCCCTCCTCGTCCTGCCCAGTCTCTCTGGGTGCGGGTGGAGAGTGACATCGAGATAATTGGAGACCAAAACCATAAGTGGTTTGAGAGCGGGACTGGGGATCTGAACGCTGCGCCTTAGTTGGAGTTGGCGGGACTTGGTGGGGGTGGGAGCAGAGGCGGGGCCAAGGGCCCGGCCGGGACTCTGTGACTGAGTCTGGGTGAAGCCCCCGCGCCCGCCGAGTCGGCGGCTAAATTTACCCAGGCTGACTCAGCCCTTGCCCGGAATGGGGGATGGGGGGAGTGCGTCGGGGCAGTGGGAAGAGCCAGAGGGGGTGGGGTGGGGGGCAAAGAAGGGAGAGTCCGAACTGGGGGAGACAAGAGTGGGCCGGGAGTTTCCATCAAAGAAAGGAATCCCCCATACCGCCCCCCGAGCAGGAAAGAGCGGAGGAGACCTGGGAGAGGGACACTGTGGGGAAACGGTCGGTGAAAGGAACAAGAGGCCAAAGTTGGATAAAGGGAAGCTTAGATTTATTGAGCGCCTACTGTGTGCCAGGCACTGTGCAAGGCGCTTTACATATATTATCGCATTAAATCCTCACAACAACCCTGCGAGGTAGGTGTTTATATACCCCCATTTGACAGATGAGGAAACTGAGGCTCAGGGAGGTGAAGTGATTTGGCCAAGTTCACATGGCTAGTAAATAGAGAGAGGAGGTGTCCAAGATCAGAGAGAAAAAAAAAAGTCTTCAGTGTCTGGATCTCAAGCCAATTGGCGTGGATGAGTACAAAGAGGGGCTCGGCGTGCTCCAGAGGTCTGGAAGTGCAGAGGCTTGTTCCTGACTTCGCGCGCTTGGAGGCAGCAAGGCGGGAGACCGCCGCGCAGTAACTAGGGATCAATTGATTAATTGGCAGTACCGGGGTAGAAGGGACTCGCGGACTAGCTACCGGGGAAATCCGCGACCTGCGCGCGCCCCATAGTGGCTACAGCGAGCATCACACCCCACACCTACAGGCTTTTTGGGACTAACCTCCCTCTTCCTTCTCTGGCCGGTTTCTGGAAGAGGCAGAGATGCAAGAAATTCTCAGAGTTCTTTCAAATGAGTGATATCACCTGGGTGGGACATCATGGAAACGATTCAGAGCATCACTAAGAAACATTGGAGAGGAGGAGGAGGAGGGAAAGGTCTAAAGAGGTTCCAAGCTGATTCACTGGCTGCCTTCCCTCCCCTGCTGGGACCATCACAGGCCAAGGACAGTGACAAGGCCACCATCCTGCCCTGACTTTGGGAGCCCTTACCTAAACCTGAGAGACTGTGATAGGAGTCGTTGAATATTTACTCAGCTCTTCTGCAAACCCTGGACAGTCTCTTGAACTGAGAATGAGCACAGGTGACAATGAAGCCACCCAGGAACCTTCAGACTCTGTTCACTTATTCCTAATCTTTTTTTTTTTTTTTTTTGGCTTTTGAAAGGGAGGATGCGATAAAAGCTTCCCCCAAGGCTCCAAAGTGTCAGAGATGGACACTAGAACTCCCTCATTTTACATACTAGGAGGCCTGAAGAGGGGCAGTGACGTGCCTAAGTTCACCCAGCAAGTCAGTGTCAGAGTTGGGATTGGAACCCTAGACTTGTGACATTTGAAGTGAACTCTCTTCCTGCTTTGCTGGTTGCTCTGGACCTCTTCCTTTTCTGACAGGACCTCTCTGTCACCTGGTCACCTCAGTCTGAAGCTTCTCCATCACTTTCTCTCTTGTCCAGAGGCCCTGCCCTAAAGTTGTCCTCCCATGACTATACCATTCCTGCCCTCCTGTCTGCTCCCGGCCAGGCCTCTGTTCAGTTCTACACTTTTGCTGAAGACCTTACTGGAGCGCCCTGAATAGAGCAGGCATTAAAGTCCATTGCTCACCCTCACCTTACCTGAAAAAAAAAAATCATGAATCGGCAGAGGCTCCTTTTCCTTTCTATTTCAAGTATGGGAACTGATGTAGGTAAGGGTACAAAAAAGTCTGTGAGAAAGAAAGGGGACCAGTGAGGGAGGATAGATGGGTTGGGGAACACGAATACAAGAAAAGGCCTCTTACTGCCGCTCCCTATTTCCCTGTGGGGTACCCTTAGTGTCCCTCGCCCCAAAGAGGGCCTCCTCGGTTCGGCTGATGACATCTATAATCTCTCGGATACTGTCGCTCAGCTCTGCTGTCTTCCTGCCTTCCTGGGGCCGGATCCTCTCATTCCGCCAGGAGGCGCCAGAGGCTTCTGTGTCGCTTCCATCAGAAGAGCCGCTATGGACACTGAGCTCCGCAGCTTCGTCCGAGTCCGAGTCCGGGGCGGTGTGACGGCGGATGCGGGACACGGCTTCCCGCAGGGCCCCGGCGTAGGGCCCCGGGATCCGCGTCCAGCTCCGGTTCGTGGGCCGCGGGACCGCCACCACCTCCCTCAAGCCCTTGGCACTGCCCGCGCCTCCCGAAGCCACTGGGCTTAAGGCTGAGTGCTCTGAGCTAACTGGCTGTGAGGGGACCTTCTGCAAGTTTACTTCGCCCATTGGAAGCCCCAGGATGCGGGAGGCGCGCTCCTCCAATGAGGAGTCCGCGGGCTTCCCGCCTTCAGCCTCGAACCCGCGCCCTCCACCCTGCTGGTGCGAAAGGCGACTGCTCAACTGCAGCTTTTGGCAAGGAGGAGGAAAGACAGCGGCCCCCTTGCCCTCCTTCTTGTTGGGCTTTGGTTGGCCAAGGGCATCCCCCTCAGGGCGTGGCACCCCAGCGGGCAAAAACTGCACATGCTGAGTTCGAGGGGTCGGAACATATTGGGACCTTATCACCACACGCGTGGCATCAATGACAAAGACGCCTTCTCCACGAACAGGGCCACGGGAACTGCGGGGCAGGGTGTGGGCGCGGCGGGTCGCCTTCCAATCCGCCAAGGTCTCGGTCTTGGCTCCTTCTCTATGACCCAGAGAATCTCTCCATCCCGTGCCTCCTGGAGCCCAGGGTCTGGGGAGGGTCTGGCTAAGTCGGGGTGGCTGCTTTTTAAGGGAGGAAATCCAGCATTTGGGGAGCCAGCTCTGTTCTCTACCTTCTTTCCCTTCCCAGGAGCCCTTGACATGGGGCCTGGACCTAGGAGCCGGACGCGGGGGACTGGGAGTAGCAGCTGCAGACCCTGCAGGAGCTGTCGCTGTGCCTGGGCTCCCAGCAGCTTTGGCTTGGGGGTAGCCACCGCTACTATTGTTCTGACCAGCATCAGCCAGCCCCAGGCTTTTCTCCGTGGCTCTTTTGCGGGGTTCCAGCCTTGGCCTGGCAGTTCCACAGCCTGGGGATCCCCCCAAGAGACCTCGCCCCTGTCGGAGACCCCAAGCCCCAAGGACGTCCCGGTAGATCCGAGGATCCAGCCTCTTCTTTGTGCACCCACCCTCCGTCCTGGCCGGAGTAGGCGCAGGTGCTGATGAGGCGGGTGCTTGGGAGGGCTCGGGGCCTCTTTTAGTCCCCAAGGTTCTATGGGGACCTTCATAAGAAGGTGGAGCCACGTAGGGTGGTGGCCGGTCCCAGCGGCGTCGCGGGGCGGTCCCAGCAGCGCCTCTCAGCAGCAGGTGAGCCTCGTAGCTGGGGGGCCCTGGCCTGCGACCTCCCCAGGGCCCCGCCCACGCTGCCTCTGGGTCGCTCTGCAGCTGCGCGGATGGACGGGGCGGTCGCCATACAAGCCCCAGGCGCTCGGGCCGTGACGGAGCTGGTAGCCCTGTATGCTGGGCCACCCGAGGGGCGTTCCGGACCTCCGGGCAGGGCCGACCCAGGGGGCTCCTTCGGGCCCCACCAGCCTTGCGCCTTTTTCTCTCGGTCTCCTTGGCCTCCCGCTCCTGCGATGCCGCTTTCCTTTTCTCTTGCTCCCGGGCTCGGGCCTCCGCCGGGGGCCCCGCCCGCCAGTTGGTCGCCTCCTGCAGCACCCTGGAGGCCCAGGGCCGGCGGGGCAGCGGCTCAGGGGATCCCAGGCGCGGCCCACACCTGGGACAATGATCAGGAACCCAGGTGAGCAGTTTGTTGGGGAAGGGAGCCGAGGGCTGGGGAGCTGGGAGCACTGCAGGCCACTTGGGGCACCTGTGTGGAGGTGTGTGTGTGACTGTGTATGCGCACGTGAGTATATGTTAGGACCGAAGTCGAAGCGAGACTCCTCATCATTTCTCTAGGCACGCTTTAACAGCGCCTGCCCCATTTCACCTTCTGCCCTTCCTCACACCTACTCCTGTCCCCCCCAAAAATAACGATGGAATAGGTCAGGCCCTAACCCTCGGGAAGGGAGGGACATGGGAAGGGAACAGGGTACCAGCAACACTGGCTATTGCCTGCAGGGAGGTCCGGACCCCACTCCCGCCTCACCACTCTCTTCCCCTCACCCCTCCTTCACTCACGTGCGGCTCTGGGGACCACGGGCCCAGTGGCTGGCCTGGAAGTCCATGGGCTGTCGAAGAGGGGTCCGGTGACTATAATGACAGGAAATAGTCTTCACTTGGATCACCAGCAGCTTGGATTTCTGCACCCAGAGACATCTGCCAGACTCCTCATCCTGGAGCTCCCGGGGGCTGTTAGGCCCCTCGGAGAATAGCTGGCCATCCAGCATCCTGCCCCACCCCACCCTGGCCCCCCACCCTC